TGGTCAATCCCGCCCCTGACACCCACCTCAGCCCCGCCATGCTTGTGGCTGAGGTGCGAAAATTTGAGGAAATAGTACTCCTAGATATCTGGAAAGACACTCTTATAGTAAAATTTACCATCATCACATCACACTTACGTCAAAATGAACGGCCAAAAAATTTCTCATAATCTTTTATCAGCGATTTTTGGCAAACATTGAGATCTAACTAATACACTAATAGGTCTATGTGTGATGTACCATAGTAAATTAACTTTAAAATATTGTCTTTGATGTATTTACTTTACTTTACCTACTTCAAACAATTATCTTTTATCAAGAAATTTCGGCAATTTTGTTAAATTGTACTTCTAATGGCCGAAAATGACACTATTAAAAATTCATCATCATCACATCCCCATTATAGTCAAAATGAAGCGCCAACAAATTTCCCATATCTTTTATCACTGATTTTCGGCAATCAGAGTTTTAAATAATCTGTGTGATGTACCATTGAAAATAAAACTTTAAAGCACTGTCTTTGATGTATTTACTTTACTTATACCTATTTTAAGCCGTGAGTCCACACCCATCTCAGCCCCATCATGGTTGGGGCCGCTGAGGCGCGAAAACTTATGTAAATAGTACCTCTATCTAGCCGGAAATGACACTCTTATAGTAAAATTCATCATCTTTATCGTCACATCACCATTATAGTCAAAATTATGTGCCAACAAATTTCTCATCTCTTTTATTAGGGATTTTCGGCAATCATATCTAAATAATCTTTGTGATGCACCATAAAAAAATAAAACTTAATTGTATTTGATGTACTACTTTACTTTACCTACTGCATGTGCCGAAACTAATCTTATCTTTACACGCTTTTTTTTCTTTCATATTCTCAAATTATAATAAAGGCACCCACAAGATTTGTGGGTAGAAATACCAGTATCTTGTTATAAGAAGATGTATTCTGGCTGTACAGGGCTCTTTCGTTAAAGCCTGGGTCACTATGCAGTTTATTTCAACAATTTCCAGGCACCTTTTTGACTTATGAAACCACATCACCGAAAAGTGGGGGGGGGGGGGGAATCCCTTATTCCCCCCACCCCACCTTCATGATCTGCACCCATGAACCAAAGAAATTCATGACATATATTAACATTATTAGTATTATTAAGACCCAACGATGGAAGGTGGGAGGGATAAAAAGGCTTTAGCTCCCATAAAATTTGAATCAACATGTTTTTTTATTTCAGTGAAATAATAGCATAGCTTATTACAATCGGCCTAATAAATTTAAACTTCTATTTAAGACCTATGAAAATATAGGTTTACCAACAACACCCGCTTCGTCACGAGTCCATTGGCGTGTTGAATCAATCTATCTGAAATGTTTGGTCCTCAAAAAATCCCGGATTCTGACCGGCATCTGTGATGTGTCAATTTACAGGTCATCATGTTATCATGTTTTACAATAATTTCACAATGGATTGAAACGTAAAAATATTACCATCTATCTCCACTACAAATGGTTCTAATTGTCAGGAATCCTGACAAAGTATAGCGAGTCGTCATCACCTTAAGTGTTTACTTAATAGTTGATTGAAATCTTGAGAAGTGGAACGATCACTTAAATGATTTACAAGCATTAGTATACTAAACAAACGACTTTAATGGAATAAAGTCAGATGTTATATTTCTCAGACTGGAAAAAGCAACAGAACGATAGTGCTTTAAATAAGACCATTCCTACTTTCACTACGGCCTGAAAATATATTCCATGGGAAAAGAAATTCACAAAACCAACATTTGGCATCTTGGCATGGCGAATCCCCCCCCCCCCCAATGACATTTTAGGGGTTTTAAAGGCTTATTTAATCGGTTCTGGGGTCTACTAATATTTAAAAAATATATACATTTTTTCTCCCTGACGAAATGCTGCCCTACCCCCCCCCCCCCCTTCCTCCCGCCCCCCCCCCCTTTTTTTTTTTTTTTAGTTTGCACAAGTAGCCTCGAGAAGAAGCCCATCTCGGAAAGAAGCCCATGGGCTTCTTTTCAAGATAGCGTAGGCTTCTTTTTGAGATAGTACAGTACAAACATAATACATGAATTTCAGAAAACAAAATATATTAAAAACAAGCTTGGCTTTTACAGCAGTTTAGGTGATTTAATGCTATTGTTAGGTTTTTTTGAAGTTTATTCCTCGTCTTTTAACGTCTTGGATCACATTAGAAATACAGCAAGTCCAAGCCAGGCATCTTCATACTATTTCGTAAGACCGCTTTTTATTGTATCTTTGTAACTCTTGCTTCAAACAGAATTGTTAAATTATTTTTTATTACAAATACAGTTAGTGTTCGAGGCAAAAAATGTTATGCTACTGCACCTCTAGATGGCCAGAAATGGAATTCTCGTACTTAAATGCTCTGGTCGGAACTACTACTGTAATGGAGAGCATCTGAAGGGGAGAGGGTAGGGTGAAACTTTTCTCTTGAGGCATTTAACTCCGACCTCTTAGATACACCACTGACTATTACATAAGGAATTAGTAGTGGTGTACCGGTACTATAGGCAGTGTAGGAATGCCGAGTAAAGAATACTGCTTTTGCTACACATTATAATGAAACTATCTGGACTTTATTTGAACTTGACGATAAAAAACAACTTGAAGTTTAAATTTCTATAGGCTTATTAAATAACAATTGTCATAGAATTCACAACTTTTTGTAGGTCTTTGCTGTATCTGTGAAAGAACCTTAAAAACACTGTAAAGATAAAAACCACTGGAATAAATTGTTAAAGCACTGTCGCTTTCATCCACAAAGAAATATGAAAAAAAAAATAGTTTCCTTCGCTTAAGCCTAAATAGTACTTCGTGAGCATGTTCTTCAGAATATCCTCATCCTACTAAAAAGTTACATCAATTTTGAATTTTCAAACCTAAAAGCATTGCATTCACTTCTAACCAAAATTTATTCAAGGTTTGACAACATATTTTTTAAACTCTTAAAAAGCTTACATATAACAATTACAATCTTTAAACAAAATGACTTCTTCAATCATTTTTGAGTTAAAAATGTTCATCATTTTTCAAACATTTTTTACAATGTTGTAATGCACATCAGAGCACAGCCTTGCCACACTCCTTGAATTGTGCATACCATTTCAATTTTCATAAAAATAAATTTCATATCATAATTGTTTTCTACCTTAACGACTTATGGTTGGGCATCAAGAAATAAAATTGGGTGAAACAAAACTGTTATCCGTTTTTCTAGAGGTTCCCTTCTCTATCTTCACTTACTATAAATAAAGAACACTGAGTAGAAAAGGGGATTCTGGAAATTTGAAGTGAAGTCATAAACTATATATTTGTCTAAATTGGGAGAGTTGATCAAGCTAATGGCTTATGAATTGGCTTAGTGTATTTCACAATGTACAATTGTTGTGTGTAGTGGAAAATAAACTATTGAAGCACTAAATTCAGTATGAGAGAAAATTAGACCACTTAACATAGCAATGAACAAGGTCCCTTAATACAGGGTGGCATAGCTAAAAACATAAAAATATAAAACACAAATCAATTTGCATAGTATGATTTAGTGAATGGCTTAGAATTACTGTATTAAAAGTAAAGTATAAATACATTGGTACACTAAGATGTTGAGAGCAACAAACAACTGTAGTATACAATGTAATTTTTACTTCACTAATAACTACTTTCACTCTGCTACAATCGCACACAGTTACTGTGCGATATAAATCGCACTGCTCCTTTGACCAGCAAGACCTCCTATAGGATGTCTGTTGCGGTTCTGTGGGGTACCTCCTCGTCCACGACCTACCATTCTCACATAAGTTTGGGCCTGCAAATAATAGACAAAGAATACAACAATGATTACTGATGTTGTTCTGATGATTTAAAAGGAAATTGTTAAAACTGCACAGCAGGGCAGAGAAAGAGAGATAAACAGGTTGATGAAGAATACAGATATGGTAATGTATAAAACACTTACAGAGAGAGCAATTGCATGTTCATTGGTTGGATTCAGTTCAGCTCTGCCGTGTCCAAAACCTACAGAAAAAAGAAAATATATTCAGCCAGACACACACTGCTATCTGCCAGTAATGTACACTATTTACCTCATATATAGATTTATGCAATAGAAAGTACTAGTACCCTAGGCTACGGAAGAGAACTTTTTTTGCCCTGACGCACGATGTGCTCTAGGCCGTGTTGCCATGTAATTTATGACTTGCACGATTGGCAAAAGAGACGCAATCTCTATGACACTGAGAGAGATTGGCCCTTAATTGATCGTCTAGGCCAGGAAGTAAGCCTAGACCTACTTGGTATGTACTATTTTCATTAGTTTTTTTAGGTATCGTAGAATCTATGTATGAGGTATGTAAAACAAATATTGACTGCTCTAGATTTTGGCGAATGGTGAAATCTATAGACCCTTGGTTATATACGGAGACAGTGGCATATAAAATAGGCTACAGTCTTCATTATCACCTCGGTGCAATAACCTTCACCATTCCCCTGATGAGCAGTCAATATTTGTACTATTTACCTGTAAAATTCCTTAAGCTCTGTCCACTCTATCACATTTTCTTTGAGAACAAACTGCCATACGCCTATATATGGTCATGATGTGATAGTCATGATGTGCTTATATGTGGTCATGATTATGCCTATATATGGTCATGATGTGATAGTCATGATGTACTTATATGAGGGCATTTAGGCATGTCAAATCAAATTTGAGATTCTGGACAGGGCTTTGGTTACCTTGGGCAGTGGGTGCTACTGCCCTCTGTGTTTTCATGACATTATCATGTTGTTTATCCTGATTATTTAACTCATTCACCATCATCATTTGTTTATTCATCAGAAGCCCTCGTCCAAGACCAATCAGTCCGAGCCTAGCATTCTCACCTGAACAAATCAAAAAAGGTACTTAAATTCTCTGCGAGTTGCTAAAATATGTTACATTTTCAAATATAATGAGAGATGAAGTTTCTGCATTTGAGTCAATCATTAACTACATGTCATTTAATCCATGTCAGTACTTTCTCCAGTAAGAAACAAATTCTCACCACTGGCCGATTCATTCTGATTGACCTGCTGATATGCCATTGCAGGTTCATGTGGCAATCTCAAAGGGCTTGACACTTTGGGACCATCTAAGTTGGAGCCTTCATCAGTAGGCCTATACTCTAGCTCTGGTGGCCTAATGCAAGACAAGATTAAACATGAGTATGAGTTAATGCGCTAACATATAAAACATGTCTTTGAGGTGGCAGTACAAATTTGGTTTGGATCACAATTATGAATTAACATACTCAGCTTGCCGAGAGAATTGACGTTTTAGGAGCATCAATGAAGCATAACAACTGACCAATCAGAACAGAGACAGGAACATGTGTGTCACAAGCACACATGTTGTCCCACAAACATGTGTTTGCATATGTTTTACCGCTGTTCTCTGGGGACCTTAGCTTAACAATATCCAAAGGGCAGGGCTTAGCGGAAAGGACCATTTCATAGTGTTGCAGCTGGTAATCAGTAGATTGGTGTGTACACTACAATGTACCTACTTAAACTCGTGCGTGGAGAGAGAGAGACAAGCATGGGTTAAGAGGCTTGCCCAATGACAAGCAAATCCAGGTGGTGGGGGAGTGGTTGAACCCTGATATCAATTTTAAAAGCTCAAATCAAAAGCAAATCACTGTGCCAACCACTCCCAAAAAGGCACATTCATCCATCTATGCCTGCTGAAAATAATAACAATCCACAGCTCCACATCTATTAATGAATGACAACATGATGGCATTGCAAACTTACAATCCTGCCTTTCGTCGTTCGTCTTGCTTTTTCAGGTATTCTCGGTGGGCTCTCTTCTCAGCAGGAGTCATCCTAAAAAATTATAATTAATAATGTTAACAAATGAAATTTGCTAACTACATTTTCGGTAGTTAAGATGCTTGCCTTCTAATCTAGTGCTTAGAGTTCAATTGTATTTTTACCACTACAAACAACTGCACTTTCTAGGTCTTTATACCATTTATCATAGTTTCATTTTGTAATTGTACTTGATGTTAATGTGAAAAGTTTACAATACAAAGTGGGTAACAGTAACACCAAATACAAAATTATATTATATGACATACTGACTTATAGATTTACGAAGTACTATGAAGACAAAAAATTAGAATTTCCTTGAAGATGTAAAAATTACAATAAGATTTTAGGTGGTTGTTAGGAACAGTGGCATGTTGAGTACACTCGTATACCATGGGCTCTTGACAAAATCATGTTTCTCTGGGGTAAATACATTTTTTATCAACTTACCCACAAGTGCTTCGATATAATTGGTGCCCAACATCTGTAGGTGGATTGTAATCGTATTTGGGTTGACACAACATTTCTATGGCAAAATAATATTTATTCTCCATAATATAACAAATTAAACAACATATCAGTATTCAGCAGATATATATGTAATTGGTTCATTTTTATCAATTATTCTGCAAATCAATTTCCCCCTTTCTATCTTGCACAGTTCCAAGTTTGAGCAAAATATCCCAAAATGTGTTACCAAACACAAGTTACCATGTTACAATTAAAGGCTAAAAAAAACCCAAAACAGTGACTACCTTAAAACCTACAGCAGTAGAGTTTTACTAAGGCAAATTAATCCTGTCTTGGAAAAAATTAATACAATGTGAACATTTTTTAAAGAATTACCCTTATCCCAGTCTTCAGATGATGTTGGTAGTGGGCACATGTTGTAAGGTGGAACATCAGTGCAACCTTTTAAGATGGTCTCTTCACCATTCTGCATCTCATGACCTGATGCAATAGCAAATTATGAAATTTTAGTCTTATATATATACTGTCTCTTAGCATGTGATATAAAAAAAAATTTGTTGGCTACAAACCAAAATAATGTATTTTGTTTATTGTTTGTTCTTTTCAATATAAATCCTCCATAAACCACCATAATCATCTTTATTATGTCATTGTTTCATTATGAAATTATTGTTGAACTTAATATTGGTAATTTACTATATTTATTGGTTATTAATAATTATCCACTCATTATTTTTTTTTACTTATCATTATTTCATTGTATTATTAATATTATCCACATCATTTATGTATTGTTACTGCTACTGTCTAGCTTCACTAATTTCACTCAAAAAACATATTTCTGCATACCATATGCAATATCCTGCTCGATGACCTGTTTATCAGGACAGTTTGCCAGATGGTACTTGTACTCTGGTCCAGGGACAACATGTCGTGCATTAAATGGGCAATGAGCCATATTTGATAGTGGAAAATTCTGAAATCAAATTGAAATAATCTGTCACTGCAGATTGGAACACCTTCTCTAACAACACTGTAGACATATCCTGTACACATAGTCCAGGTCTTAGGCTGTAGCGAAAAAAAAGAGCAAAACTTGTCACGCCTATTAACAGTGTCGGTAAAATTACCAATTATGTATTAGTAAAAAACGAAATTTCTGAGAACCATTATGACTCAATGCTGAAATTAAATACAAAGGCCATTTCTCTTTCTCTATTTGGAGTTCATACAATATAGACGCTAATACAGTATATGGTAACATGTAATAGAATGTTGAAATGATGGTATATTCAAGTCACTATTAAACACTTTTGTATTTCATATGAACAATATTTAATGACCAACAAACTTCAAAATAAGGGAAACTACAGCCTCTTTCAATTTGCAAGATCCATCCAGTAGGGCACCGGGTATCCAAGTGGGTCATGCGATGGCCACCCTAAAAAAAAGTTGCTGAGCAAAAAATTTACTCTATTAAAAAAGATTCTCCTTACTTCCCATCAACTGTACATCCTTCTCACCTTCATCTCTCCCAATTAGAAATGTGCCACTGGGAGAGGAAGCTAGGTAATAATTCAACATACCTTGCGACAATTCTTTAGATGGTATGGAAACCGCTTGGCTCTTATTATATGGTTTGAATCATAAGGGCAAACAAATGCCTCATTGGGATCACAACTTGTGTAATCTGGTGTACGGTATGCATTGTCAAGTCTCAACATTTTGCTATAAAAACAAAAAAATTATTAATATATAATTAATGTATTTATTCAAATAAACGCCCCATCTAGAGCCTCATTTTTAATTTTGCCTCCCTAAATGACTGTAAAAAACAAATCTAATGGAAGCTCAACACATTCTAATAATGTTCTACTGCAGTAGAATTAAATTTTCTCTAACCCGGTTGGGATTAGTATTAAAGTACTGTATTTATGATCACACAATAACACATTTTGAAGGTAATTATGTGATGTAGTTCCCCACTTACAGTAAAATTAGGGGGGATGGGGGACCTATGTAATAACAAAACAGAGCACCCTCTATGCTTAATTTATTTAAGGGGCCAAATTATTTTTAGAGTTGATCTCACAAGACAAGGTAATCTTCGAGTTTCAAGTAACTTGTATTTATGGTAACATTCTGAAATGCAATGGACAGTTCCAGTTATATGCACATACCATTGAAGTTTTATCGCAATTTCAAGTTCTATTATATTTTTAATTGTACTATGCACAATATTAGGACACTAAATTCATTAGACTTTTTGCACCATAAGATTGATTTAATATTTTGCCAAAAGTAGTATTAAGACACTTCATTTTTCACTATTTCTTGCTTATTGATGATCTTTTATTTCTTGCTTGTGTAAAATTATCACAAAACAAAATTAGGGATGCCAGTATTTGCCCAATAATGGCAGGGATGGGGCGATGTCCCAGAATCTCTGAAAAAGTTCCAGGGGGAAAAGTCCCTGGAAGCTCTAAAAATTTAGTGATTTTGAATGCTTAAGGCATGTAATCGGTCTTACAGCCTCATATTCTGTAAAAGTACATATAATTTTTTTCACGAATGTGTTGAGTTCTCCACCAAGAGAGCTCTCTCAGATGGGTATCCAGCTTCCGGAGGATGATTTCTGAATGGCGGGTGGGGGCTCCGCTTGCAAGATTTACGCTGTGGTTGTTTAGGGCCCCGGCTGTGTCAAGGCTTAGAAGCTCCTAAAAATAGCATTTTGAGGCCATATTTAATGTCTGAAACCATAATTTGTGAATATTCCATCTAAATCATTTTGGCCGACCAAATACTGTTTTTGTAGTGACTGGTAATTGAACTTGTCATGTCTTCCTTTATTTGTGCAAGTGCAACTGTGTGCAAAGTATCGTTTCCTGAATTGTGATATTTTTCCCAAGTAAAACTAGATATGCTTTTTCTATCATATTGACCTTAATTCTTAAGTTTGCTTCCGATGGAGGACCTCCACGTTTAAGCCTATGCTCAGGCATCCATAGAACTCCCTGGTAGGACTAACCTGTAGGAGTTTTTAAATCAAAAATGAAGTTTAAGGCAAAATCGTAACATGAACACATTATTTTTTTTTTATCAGTCATACTTATTAGTTTGGCACACAATTGGTATTTTCTTTGTAATTTCACGCATCCTATAGCCACTTAGCCTAAAAACATTTACCTGTAAAATTTCAGGTCTACTCATAAAAACAAGTCTATGACAAAGTTTCTATTATAAATCTGTTTAGCTGAACTAAGACTTCCAATCTTTTGCTGTTTGTCGATTGGTTGGTGACAGATATAATTCTAGATCTGGGTGGATCAACCCTACTTCACATTTGCCCAGTGTTATGTTTTGGCCTTTAATTTACTGGAAAAAAAAAATTCATCGAATGATTATTACTTTTAGTTTCTTCAAATATATTTTTTTATTTAATTTTTTGGACCAAAATACTATGCTTTGCGGGTTGCCTAACTGTATTTATTAGGAACCAGGGCATTACAATCATCAATTGGTATATACTGTAGCTTTGTTAAAAGAAATTTATATTTGGGGTATAATTGGCATACAAATTTTATCTTTCACAAACAAATTTCTAGGCCAATATAACTGCCAACTTTGTTGGCATCATAATGCGCGAGATAAAAAAAAGGAAGTATATCACCTTCTTTCTATGTAAAAACCACAAAATAGAATGGCCTCTATGTTTAAAATTTTAGAACTTCATTACAGTCGTCGGTCTGTATAGCTTCGTTAAAATAAATTTATAAGATCTTCCAACATTTTATTGCCCAATTCACTTCATTTTTATAAATTTTTGGGTATAATCGGCCTATACATTTTTTTATCTTATGTTTATGCCTGAGATAATACAACGTAGGGGTACATAAAAAGTGGATGCTCATGCACGACAGTTGGTAGGTGTGGCCAAATTTTTGCATGGAGGATATATTCCCTGTGCTGTCCCTCCGTACCATCACCACTCTGGTACACCTAAGCTAATAATATATATGATAGCCTAATTTCCTAAACTGAACAAAAAGTCATCCTTCCTAATGCCTCTGTCCCATCATAAATCGTGGCCAAGAAGCCTGATGCTGAGCATACTGTATCTAGGCCTAGGCATATATTATATAATAATTATTAATAAGTAATTAAAACTAGGCCTAGGTCCCTACCTAGGCCTATGGATAAAGCGGTATAAAAGCATAAAAAACGTATCCTTGATGTGCTGAATCAAAAATCCCTCCCCAACTCATTCTTATGCCCACCCTGTCCTGAAGAATGTGGGCATGGAATAGCACATCTGTGAAGTAAGCCACTGGTAGGAAGTAGACTTACTTACAATAGGCTTGTCTAAGGATAAGTAGTGGCCAAGCCTCAATCAAGAGGGAGGGCTAGCTCAGCTATCCTACAGCCTACTCCAGGCTAGCATAGGCTACCTAGGCCCTAGCCTAGGCTATGTCTAGGGTCTATCTAGGCCTAGGAAGCATGGTGATACAATCAATAAAGTACTGTACTCTGAAAGTACAAAACTAGGGCTACACACCCAAGACTCCCTAGTCGATATTGCATTACCATTCAATAGCATGGTGTGTGTGTGTATCAAAAGTAGACAGCGTGACCACTCACAATTTTTGATATACACAATGACTGGGTCGAAATTACCCAAGATTCAGCAAAAATTGCCCAAAATTACCCAAGCTTCCTGAAAATGCATTAAAATTTGAAAAGTACGTGTTTTTCGCATGTATGGTTTCCCTTTTAGTTCAATTTATAAACCATTTTTTATTGTAATTGTTTGTGTTAATAATTAAAATTAATATTCATGAGGTGATAATACGGATAGAAAATACGCCCTCAGTCGGGCAGTGTTATCAGCAGATCAGTGATCAAGTTTTATTATGTAATGCATTAATTAGGTAAGATCAATGGCAACGCAAATCACAATTCTGAACCCATGTTTATAGCAATTAACAGTCAATTAACAATGTTATGTGCACTTCGTTGAGTTTTGCTTACTTGAATGGATTGAAATATACTTTGTTACTTCTTAATTCTTCCTTTATAACAAAAATATTTAATTTTCTTAGTAAAAATAAAATACCCAAGAATTTGAACGGAATACCCAAGAACCCAAGACCAAGTCAAAATACCCACAAGATCTTGGGTAAATACCCAAGCAGTGGTCACGCTGGTAGACAACCAACCGTTCACCGACGCGCGACCATTGGAGGAGGTGAAGAGGAAAAAAAGCATGTGGAAAGCGGTGCCAGGCTGTTCTTGAAATTGCTGCTGTTTCCAGTTATAACTACTCATGGAGGAGTCGTCCAACATCGACTTAAAAATGACCATTTTAAAGTTAATGATAATCAATGGTTTTTGCCCATTCACCATGTTGGAAAAGAGTGAAATATAGAAAAAAAAAAAAGTTCTATTTTCTACAGAAATTTCTCATTGTGTGATGTAGATATATACAGGTCTCCCTCCAATTAAAGACCATTTTTAGAACTGAGGTTTCCATGGTCTTTAGCAGCTTTGGTCTCTAATTAGAATAATAAAAACATTTGTTAAATGGGACCACAAAAAAGTGGTCTTTAATTGGAGGTGGTCTTTAATTGGAGGGAGACATGTATAGTTAAAAAAAAAAACATATTACTGTACAATGGAATTTTAAGTCATAGACAGCATGTAAAATATCATAATAATCCTTTTAATCAAAATTTCAATAACCAAGGATCAGAAGGAAAAACCTCCTCCAAATTTAAGGATTTTGAAACTTTATAATGGTATGAACATTTTATAGCATTAATATGTAGGGATAGTTTAAAACAACACTAAAGCCAGGCAAACACATCGGCCGACATATGCATCTCTACACTCTGTGATCACTTGACGATGTGCCACTGTCTGTCGATTCTGTCTGTCGATTGTAAGTAGCAGTATGAGAGAATTGTCAATAACTACAATTTGTTATAGCGTTGTGTTAAATATGGAATTGCGTCGGCCAATGGTAGTCAGACATTGTATGCCTGGCTAATATATACTGTAGTATCATATTTGCTTTTCATGATCTTCTGTTTTTATATACAAAAGGTTAAAATACAGTAAGAGTGTCCCGATATCTACACATTAATAACAAAAAAATATATATACAATAAGTACTTTTGATATACTACACTAAGAATAATGATACAGTATTTATTTTACAGAACTTGAAACACTTTCCAATGATCAATGCAAATATACCATTTTATGGAAGTATTTGTTGTACTGTATACCACACCTCTATACAAAGAAAAAAAACCATTTACAATGTATGATACCAGAGTTAAAAATAAGCTCATAAAAACCTTAAATAACTAAGCGTAAATTAATAAAAAATAAAATTTTTTTCATTGATTTATCAGTAATTCTTCAAAAAGTTTAAGATTCGGAGTGAATCCGGCATTTGTCTTAGGGTTTACTCTCAAGCTTCATGACCTAGAACAGCTATTTCCTTTTGGATCGAGGCTTTCTTTGAAACCTTCAGTTCCTGAAAATAAAAAAAAAAACACTTGTTATTTACAATCTATCATAGCACCTGACTTTATCCAACTAGCTTCCCCTCATTTTTCCATATTTCTCCCTCCTCATGTAGATACACCACTGCAATAAATGATAGCTAATGGCTTATGAATAAAGGTAGTTCATAGAACTGTACTTTACAATGTGCAGCAAATAATAATAATAATAATAATATAATAATAATAATAATAATGATAATAATATTAATAATAATAATAATAATAATAATATAATAATAATAATAACTAGCACTAACTCAGACTCAAGGGGGATATCTTTCGTGTTATTTTCACCTGAACCATGTGATTTTCCACTTAACGTCGTTTTTCCTAATTGTTCTCTAATCTCTCCATTGTCTTAGTTCCACTTAAGGTAGGTTTTATTAACATAACAATAAAAATAATAATAATAAAAAATAAAAATAATAAAAACAATAACAACAAGAAGATTTATGAAGCACACATTATCCACTCAAGGTGCTACGAAAGGAAGGAACCAAAAATTAAAGTGAACCTTATAGCTACTAGAAAAGAAAAAACACACACACACACCACAGAACCATTTACAGGTAATGTACACAGCCTCTTTATAACTCAAAGGTGCTCAAGTAAAGGGGGCATCTAACTAAACAAATTAAGTATGCAAGCAAGACAAAAAAGAAACTGCAAAAGCAGCACAAACAGGGGTGGACTGGGACCCAGTTACTCGTCCAGTAACGAACGTAGGGCCACTGGTGGCTTCCGAGGTGCTCATGTTTCAGCACTATGGGTGAAGAGACTATTTAATACCATTAGTGAGCACTTGCATATTTATATCAAGTTTTTTTTTTGTTCATGATAATTATCTCAATTATCATTTTAATATGAAACAAATAGTAATTTAACATGGTGATAAGTTTTAAAACACACCTCCTCTTCTGTTAGTTCTTTCCCCTCTTCTTTCTTCATCTCAAGTATCTTTATCTAAAAGTAAAGAAAATTTCAAAACCATTATCAACACAAATCAATTAATATTGAGCCTAGGCAACACAGAAGAACAATTGAAAAACAAAAACAAATGAAATAAAAAAACAAACAAACAAATAATAATACAAATGAAAAAAAGTCATGGAAGATTCTCCTCTATCACTTTCCTTTCCATGTGCCTCAATAGACAAGAAAAAACAAACATCACCATCAAAATTAATATAATTATTATCATATTCTACAAATTATTATGCAAAAGTCAAACTATAAAGACATATACAATTATTGTGTTAATCATGCTTGTAACCCTATTTTTGGTGTGACAATTATCACATATGTATTTATAAATTATGACGAATAAGGTAATTGACTTGAAATAAATTGTATTAAGTGTTTACTTGTTTTAACAATGTGTACAAGCAAGAGCAATTCAAACCTAAAAAGCCTGTATATTTTAAATGATAAAAACACACAAAGGTCTCCCTCCAATTTATACCACTTTTGGGACTGAGGTTTTTTTTAATGGTCTTTAGCTAGCAGATTTTGTCTTTAATTGAAAAATTATCAGAAACATTGTCTTCAATTGGAGGTGGTGTTTAACTGGAAGTCTTTAATTACAGGAAGACCTGTACCATATATGACTTTACTCCAAGATGATATATTTACGCACCCCATTCAGTTTTTTCATCAGCTTCCTGATTAGTTTCTTTCTCATGGTGTCTTCGGATTCCTTCAAAAATATAATAAGAAAACAATTATTGAATGAATTGAACAAATTAGCAATGGAGAATTTTTTAAATAAACGGTCAATTCATATTTGTATAACTGTATACAAATATAATTATTTCTTTTTTTATTTACTATTATTTCATATTTTGTTATTAAGACAACTCTAGCAACTGCTCACTAGTGGTCATTTACAGTAAATTTGTCTACACCATGCCAAGTACTATGTGACAAATATTTCTGATATGCCCATTTATGGCTGTGATAATACATGATCATGCCCATATATGGCCGAATCAAAGATATGTTATAAAAAAGAAGTTGATAGTGTAAAGGGAGCCTTAAAGTGTACAACAAAACATAAACAGCAATATATTTTCGACTAATTTTGGTGCTATATTATGGAAATTTGTGCCTTATATATCAGCAACTGACACCCTAGCTTTAAAAACATAGTCTATGACTGAATTTAAACAAGAACCCTTCAAAAATTTAATTAATATATTCAATTGCTAATTTTATAAAATGAGCAAAAATGAGAAACCCCCCGCCCCACGCCGCCCACCAAAAAACATATAGTTTTTGTTATGAACTAAAAGACTTTCAATATGAAAATCCCTGTATTGATTATGGCCATTTTAAAGGCCAAAAGAACATTCAGTTACTTATGCACTTGTTCTGGTAAGTAAAATAATTTTTCATTCCAATTTTTATAATATAATTTTGTTATTGTATAACAAAAAAACAAAAATTGAAGTCTATTGGGCAATTAGGAGTGGAGTTGATTGCAATCAAGGTGAGACAAGATTTAATTCCAGAACCCTGAGATTAGAAGGCAAGACAAGGCTGTCTTTATACCTTGTTTAGCAAACCTGCCCCCAGCCAATAATGATGATGTCAAATAAAAAGATAATTTTATTTTTGGCCAATTAGTGCACTCGCTCCCACGAAAAAATGGAAATTACAGTAAAATATAAAAGATTTTCTTTTTTTTTATTACGCTCTGCCTTGAAATCTCCAAAAATATGATATGTATATTTCTTCCCAATTATGTAAATTTAAAGCATTTAACCATCCCATTAATATACTGTTTTCATTAACCAATAACATTTTATTTTTACTTTCTCCTCCTTTTTTGGCAAAACCATTTGCTAAATAAGAAAACAAAATCTTATTTTCATTTTTTTTTCTGCCTCCTCTGATGGTCTTTAAAACAATAGTTTCGTGAAACAAGGTATAAAAAAAGTCTCACCTAACAAATAAGTTACATCTTCAATCCAATAGACAAGAGGAACTAATGGCTCTATCACAAAAAGTATTGCATTACAACATTAAAATATTTTTATAAATTGCATTCTATTTTTAGAATCGTTGTAGAGTACTATTCAACTCACTTCTTGAGATGAAGAATCTCCAGATGATAATTGACTGGTTTTCACATCTGTGACACAGAAAAAGTTGTAAAATAATTAATATTTAATGTAATGATGTTTTTGAGCTTTTTATACAAGGGCAAACTTATGTACTGTCTGCCAACAAATTATGAAAACCTCGAAAATTCAATTACAAGTTTGAAAAGTTCATTCAAAAGGATAAAATGAGTATTTAACTTCAAATCAGAAACTTATTTACCAAGATCTTTCAGTTTTACAAAAATCATTAAATTTCAATATGAGCCAATTTAAGGTGCAGAAGAACACAGGAGTAGGCTCTGGAGGGAAAAAAATTGTTGTACAACTGATTTTTTTCTAAGACGTTAAAAGGATGTTTAACGAAAAAATCGGGAAAGATTAATGAGATACAAATTTTTTGAATATTTAAAAACTGGTGAAAAAAAGGAGGCAACACCCCTTTTCCACCAGTTTTTAAATACTCAAAAATTATTTGTATTTTACAGTATTAACCGTTCCGGATTTTTCTGTCAAACAATGTTTAATGTCAAATTTTTTTTCTCCAGAGCCTGGCTTTAAAATTAATTTTCTAATCATTCAATATTACTCTCGCTTCTTGTGCAATATGTTATTTTTTAAGCAATTAATGAAAAACAATTGCACCATCTTTTGTACATACCATTATTCTCTTCCTCATGTTTTGATGGTTCTGTTTTATTGATGGCATAGCTCGTTTGTGTCTTTTGACCCGCCAGACCCCCTACAGTTGGAGCTGTCTTTATTATGAGTTGTCTGTTCCGGTTCTGTGGGGTACCTCCCCGTCCACGACCTACCGTTCTGACATATGTTTGGGCCTGCAAAGATGGAAAAGTAGGAAACAGTGGTTATTGGTGTTGATTTCACGTTGAAAAGGTAGTTTACCACACAGCAGTGTAGAAAAACTAGTGAATGAAAGGAAGTAGAAAAAGTAATAAAATGACTTACAGCTGGAGCAACTGCATGTCCATTGGTTTGAATGGGTTCGGTCTTAAAATTAGCTGCCATGCCCCGTCCAAAACCTGTTAAAAAAAAAACATGCACAAAATGTTTTTTTTTAATTTAAAGATCTGCATTTAGACAAAAACAATTTCTAGCATTTGTTTTAGTTTTTGAACTAAAAGTTCAACATCAAATGGAGTAAAAATTGGCTGTGGGTTAGGCTTTCCAACTGTCCACTGTATGAATGACTACAGTGAACAAACTAGTCCTAGCATTTGGAGAAACCCATTGAAAACCAACTTTTTTATGTGCTTCAACTTTACTGGTGAGTTTTTTTCCACAGGTATTAGGATGCTTCCATCAGTTGACATTTCTAAAAGAAATCTAAAGACCTTGCTGCTGGATATCTGTAGAATAATTTGATGTGAAATGAAAAAAGAAACCAATAATTTGTCTGTTAGTTACCTTGGGCTGTGGGTAGCATTGCCGCCTTAGTTTTCATGAGGTCACCATCTGCTTTACTTGAGTCATTCACCATCATCATTTGTTTGTTCATCAGAAGCCCTCTTCCAAGGCCAACCAGTCCAAGCTGTGTATTCTCACCACCTGTACAGAAATAAATTGAATTTCTCTAAACATTCTAATATAATAAAATGAACTAACATTTGTGACCCAAGCTCACAAACAGGCTGTAAACTCGCACAGCACTGTTTTGAGAAACAAGCCTCAATAGCCAGAACATGCCATAAAATATGAATTTCGTGTGAATTAGGTTTTTGTGTAATAAATAAAGTATAATTATTAATCTTACTATTCCTGAAGTTTGAGTTTAAAATTCAAACTGTAAAAGGCACAATTTAGCCATTTTCAAATGGGAGTTAGTGAAAATGAATAGGAAATTGCCAAAAATAATAGCCTTTTTCTCAAAACTTGATATAAGAAAGTTGAGAAGATGACAATTATTCAAACGGTCATAACTTTGCTTCCAGACACCCGATTGAGTTCATTTAACTGTCAATGTCATTTTAAAATAAATGATATGTTCTATGCCATTGTAACAAAAACTCATTTTGGCTTGAAGACGAGTTTACAGCCTGTTTGTTAGCTTTGGTCACATTTAGAAGTAGTGTAAAAAAGCAATCAGAATTGTACATACTTTAAATTCATTAAAACCTTTGCTACCACTTAAAATGGCACTTTGTCTATTTTAGAGCAAAATTCTTCCAACATGTTTCCTGTTGTACACAAATCTCATAGTTAGTTCTTACCCATAGCCATTTGGTTTACATGTTGATAAGCTTTTGGTGGTTCTCGAGGCAATCTCAAAGGGGGCTGGCTTGAAGGACGAACCAGTTCAGGAACACCACAATGAGCTTCTCCTCCAAAAAACTCTGGTTCAGGTGGCCTAATGTATAAATGAGAGAAAACACGAGTTTAAATATAATAACACCGAGTTATGAATCAATTTATATAAAACATGGACTCCATTCACAAACTTTAAAGTGGCAGTTTTTCATTTGATAAAAAAATACTAATTCATCCATTTAAGACTGTGTAATTTACACATGTTTAGCTCTTCTGTCTTGTAATTGGCTGTAATATAGGAAAGCCACATCATACTCAATGGATTACAACATGATGAGTTTGCAAACTTACAATCCTGCCTTTCGTCGTTCTTCTTGTCTTTTCAGGTACTCTCGGTGTGCTCTCTTCTCAGCAGGAGTCATTCTAGAATATAATTAATTTTCCAACTTTTCATTATTTACAACAATTATTAGGCGAGACTTTTTTACTTGTTTAGGGAACCTGCTGACTGCAAATATTGATGATTTCGAATATTTCAATAAAATGTTATTTTTGGCTAATTAGTGCACCTGCACAAGGAATAAAAAAAGTCTCGCCTTATCATCAACATATTCATAGTGTTTAAGTCCCAGCCTATTGCTATATCAACTACTAGACTGGATCAATACAGCATAATAATTAGACACTAGTGACAAACACACCATATATGTGAGCTGTCGTGACAAAACGAGCCTTGTCGTACGAAAAAAGAGTTATTGATATATTTAGATAGATGAATATATTGTATAAGCTTTATTTTGGTGATTAAATCATGTTCCTCGGTTAAGTAAACCTGGAGTAAGATAATTTTGAAGTTCAGATGTCTGAAAACGTTCAATACAGCAAAATTAGACACTAGTCACAAACACATCAATGTGAGCTGTCGTAACAAAATGAGTCTTGTCGTACGAAAAATGAAAAATGATTTATTGATGTATTTAGATAGATGAAAATATAAGCATTATTTTAGTGTTTAAGTCATGTTCCTAGGTTAAGTATAACTGGAGTAAGATCAATTTGAAGTTCAGATGTCTGAAAACATTCTTTAGAGAAAATCGCCTCTAAAGATAAACAACTGATAAATTTTGTGTGGGTTGTCCTATTAATTCTGAAAAATAGCTTTACAAAGTGTGCCTCAAAAACATGATTACATTTAGTAACTCAACTCGGAACTTTTGCTACTATGAAATATACATATTAAGCTTATCAGAAAAATTGAAACCCAATTTTTGTCAAAATATCACTTCAGATATATTTTCTTGAATATATCAAATTGACCTGGCGTACCACAAGACTCATTTTGTCACAACTCTCATATATGAACGTTGTATCATATACAATGAATTTTTATGCAAATTATTGTTTATAGTTAAAATCTCAATTTCAGCACGTGGGCCACTTTGTTTAGAAATTTAAATAACATTAGGCCTAGGTAAAGGATGGCTAGTTACAGATATAAACATTACTGAGAAAATGCAGATTCTAATAACTAATAATAATCACAATACAAGGACTAGAGGCGAGAAGAGTTATCAATAAAGTACAAGGCCTGGGAATCAGAATGTTAATTATGTACGTGGAAGGAGTTTTACAAATGATACGTGTCTGTTTACTCTATATCTCAACAAAAGCATTCAACCATTATCAAGTGGATAGGAGTGGTCTTACATAAATATTTTATGGTTTCTCAGAAAACATCTTCAATTGTATTTAAATCATTATTAATTACCTGGCTGGCAATTAATGTGAATTTATTATTTTTTTTCTTTTTTGCTATTGCACCATGCTACACATACAAAAACATACTATGCTGAAATTCACTAAAACTACTCTTAAAATGTTATCATAGCATACTTTATAATCACACTATAATAACATATTATTCAGCATTTTTTATTTATTATTACAGTATAAGCCTTGATACATTTTGACATCTATAAACTTACCCGCAAGTGCTTCGATAAATGTGCTGCCCTGCATCGGTAGGTGGAGTGTAATCGTAGTTTGGCTCATTCCTCATTTCTATGAAACAATAAACATTTTTTTGTATATTTTACTGGCTATATTATGAAATTTCCTAACCTTAAGGTCCGGTACTTACCATGAAAATAATATGTAAATTAAAGAGCGTTCTACCAGCTAAATACCCATGCCCACTGCCTTATTTATGACAGACTTAACTACATAATATGAAACATAATTATGTAGTTTATTCAGGGCTTTAATAACATTTAATAGATGAAAAAATAATAATAATATGTTGTTCTTATATAGCACTTAATGCCTTTACAAAGCCTCTAAGCGCTTCACATTTTAACAAATAAATCTTTCCTATGAATGACAAAATTAAGAAATAAATTATCTACAGCAACTTAATAGACAAGGGAGGGGGAGGGGAAATAATTAAAATACCTGCATCCCAGTCTTCAGAAGATGGGGGTGGTTCCCAAGTATTATAAGGTGGCACATCAGTGCAACCCTTGAAGGGTGACTCTTCACCATTTTGCTTCTGTTGTTCTGAAACATAATCCAATAAAAATTTACATTTATGGGGTTTAACACATGCCTGAATTGTTTTAGAAGGATATTTAGTGTATAAAGATGTTTGTTAGTGGCGTAACGCCTATGGGCTCTCAGGGAGTGAAGCCCCAGGGCCTCCAGTCCAAATGGGCCTGGGAGTGTGAAAATATAAGTTAATTCTGTGGTCATAGCCCAACAATATATATATA